GCTGGCTCTAACCGGCCCCATCAACACTCACCAGCTTCATGGCTGCGCGGTGTGAGTTGGGGTCACGAGCTGAGTGCGTCGAGAGACTGTTGCCTATCGCTTGGTGGCCGGTGCTTTTATACGCTTCCCCGGCCCTCACTGTGGCGGCCTTTGGCCATGGGGCCTCTCGGCTGCCAACCGAGGCTCCATCTTCCGGGCGGTGGCGGCGGAGATGGGTGAGCGGCCCGAGGACAGCCCTGCGGCGTGCGAGCAGGGCCATCAGGACCAGGGGTGTACCTGGGATTGTTCCTTTGGTCGGCAGCACGGAAAGGGCAGCCACTGCTCTAACCACGCACACTCGCACCCGAACTGTCTTCACAGCACTTGTGGTTATTTAGTGGAGAGGATGGGAGGCGTGCTTTTTTAGTGTGATTGTAAAACTTTAATTTTGTCACTGATCTAGTATGTCGGCTCAATGGGAAGGTAGCCTGCTGGGCACTCATCATACAGTGTCCATTCCCCGTTGAAGAAGGGGATAATTTTTCGTTGAAATGTTCTGCGGCTTTATGGGTTCAACGACAGAACAATATTGGTCGTTACAGCGACTCATGAACAACAACCATGATGTGGTATAGACTGGAAGCCTCCACGCCAGCATTAATGGCACAGTCTTACTGGGTTATAACATTACACATCATGTGAAAACTGCACCGCAAAACGTACTCCACTTTGTAGCGCATGCCCACACTGGCCCGTATTTTGTGTGTACCTTGGACAAGATGTCAAACTGAGAATACATACGGCTTCTACGCAAAAAGAAGCCGTAAGGATCGTGTTAAAAACGAGCAGATTTGTACGTTGTTCCAAGGTGCTGTTCCCGTCCCTGTCAAACAATTCCTGCCCTGACCGACTCGGGGTACCCTGCAAACTTTGGGCCCTCTTATAGGCACTGTGGGCCTGTGACCAACCAAGAAGGGTTCATTGCTTTAAGGATGCCGACCAACGAAAATTGCGGGCCCTGAAATTGTCCCTGTTTGGAAAACGGGCACCCACGGCTCAGACAGACACGGAGCCGACTGTTCAATGTTGGCAGAATTTGACCAAAATGGAGACCTGCATTGTCCCGGGGCGTCCCCAATCGTTGCAAGAGGCTCTCTGACTGACATTTGATGGCCCGGCCCTGACTGAGTGCACTCCGATCGGGCACTTGATCATCGGTCCCGAGGGACCGTTCGGCTCCTCTGCGGGTCTCTCAAGCACTGTCCCAGGCCGACTATGGGCTCAGTCTCAATACCGGACCCTTGTTGGGCAGTGCGGTCCCCTGGCCGACACAGAAGCCACTCATTGGCCTCCGGGCCCGACTAATGTAAATCGCACATCTCGGCGCTGTCTCTGCTTGGGAAATGGGCACTAAGTCCCAGGCCTGACCGAGGAAGCCAATCTGACAACAAATCTTTCGCATGTCAAGGTCGTTAACGCTCCATCAAAGGAATATAGTTTCACAAACTAGGATTGGTAAGGCCAAACGGAAAAAAATCTGACACCAAACACAATACAAGGCAGGTTACTTCCTGGACATGACCGAATTCCCTCTCAATGGCGCTAGGGAGTTGGGGTCCCATTCCGCTCCCCAACAGAATAGGAAATTACAACCCTGGTCTAATACGTTTGCTCCCTCTGTCTCGTCGAAAGATTTGGTCGTTGGGTACCTCTTTAAATTTATTTGGCGTCGATCGTCGAAACCAGGTTTCAGTACCGACGTAGGGTCCATGTTATGTTGCTTTAGACCTTATCAGACGTGCTCTGCTTCATGAGCAAAGAGTGCAAGATGACTTGCACAACTAATAATGTCTGCCATGAAAATCCGGTTGATTGCCGCAAGGCGCGGTGGATGTACCGTCAGGTTTTGCGACTATGCAGTCGATTTTTTAGGTTGAAGTGAAAGATATCTTTCAAGTTCTCATCCGAATGTTGTCTGCTCATAACTTGATAACGCTTTGCTTTGATTTTCCGATAAGACGTCGTGGCAAAATAACGCAGCTGTTGCGGTCTCAATGACATGAATCTTCGCTGAATAATGCTAAAGCACTCCCATAACAGCACAAACTAGACCATAGTCAACAACATGTATATATATATTTATATATATATATATATATATATATATATATATATTCACATAAATCGTGTTATCGGGAACACGCAGCATGCAGGAAAAACATGAAACTAAAATAAACGCGTTACTACTGCGGGGCGTTAAAAGCGTGAATTATTCAGTCTGGTGCACGAAACTACGCATGATATCACAGCTTTCATTTTCTTTGGTTCCTTTGCCAGTGAAACAGCTTGTAGAAGCCTTCTGTAAATTGATACAATGTAGAGCTCCAACATGTAATATCCTATACGCACTTACGCTCCAGAAAGCTGAGGGACCAAACTTCCCGTTGGAGGGGGGGGGGGACAGACTGAACCGGAGGGGGGGGGGGGCAGTTGCCCACTCAAAGTAATATAACATGACACCCGTGAGCACGAATGTGAATAAGTTTGAAACTTTAGTTACCTGCGTCGCAAGCTGCGGCGTTCGTTGTTACCGTAGTACCAGCAAACTAATCAACGTGTGGAAATGCAGTACTGATTATCGCTGCAGTCGGCTGAGACAGCCTTTCAAGACAACGTCACTGGATTGTCATTTTGAAGACGGCTGATGTACAGGTTATTGCTAGCTTTGCACGCACGGTCGTGTAAACTACAAGAGACAGCTCCCTAAGCCAATACAGGAGGTCGAGAATCAACGGGGGCCTACTTGTTTAGTGTATCGTCAGGTCTTACCCCGTCCCGATCTTAACGCCACCAGTGAAAGGACTTCGGTACACGTTGCGTAAAGCCCGGTGCAAAGAAATGAAAGGGGCGCAGATTGGTGGCCAGGTGTCTCGCGGCTGCAGGCTGCTGCCTCTCCAGGTGCTACCACGGGTCAAGCTCGCTGAATAAACAGGCGGCCACGGTGATTTCTGCGTCACTGATGCGTCGTTAATGTCGCGCGGTAACAGCTGCGCGCGTGCTGATGCAAGTTAACGGTTGATGGTCATTCGATAGCCTTCGTGTGATGTGGGCGGGTGACGGTGGGAAAATGTGCAAAACAGCTGCAATAATGCATAATTGGGTTACATAAACTGGCACAAAGAGCAGTGAAAAATATACTTTGGGTGCTTGTTTGTTTCCTTCATAAACATCAACAGACATTCACCCAATTATTAATGCAGTCCGGGAATAAATATAATGAGTTACACAGAAGATAACATAAACATGCAGATAACGTAGTCAAATATGTGCATACGGCTACTCAAGTGAGCGCGGCGCGCGATGCGTCACATTCTTTCCGTTGGGACATACGGTAGACGTAATAAGCATATGGTACTCAGCCTTTTCCAATGCATTTATATGTGGAGAAAATTTTTTCAGAGAGCACCGGCGTGTTCAAGTGTATGCCGCCAACCTCTACGGCTAGCAACAACGATGGGACACCGTGGGTTTGCGGGAGGCATTTTTGAACGTTTGTGGTTTGCGGTGGCAGAGATTCCTTCCGTGCGTTTGTCGGACAAGGACAAAACAGAGCGGCACCATGTACCATAAAGCCCCACAGCGCGTGCAATACGTTTGTCTAGATGCCATGATTCGGCGCACTATGCCAACAAGCAGACTTTGTCAAACGGCGAAGTTTAATAATCCCACACCAGCAAAGTTTTGGAGAAGAAGGATGTCGGCTCCCGTCATTTAGAGCTGCTTGCGCCCAGTCACGATATACATGTCAGCATTTTTCAAAAATGTATGAGAAATTCCCTGGTCATTTTATCCCAAGCAGGCTCCAGAGAAAAATGTTTGAGACTACCGATTTGTGCACGTCGTCCAAAAATGTTGGATGCAACCGTCCGGGAAAACCTTGTATGAGTCCTCGACTGCTTTGTCCCCGTCGTGTCGTGTAACCGTAAAGGCCCTTTCGTCGCCCAACGATTGGTATCTGCCGTGTCTACCAAAGGAAAGTCAGAACCAATTGAACACAACTGCGGGAACGGCATAAGCTTAAGGTGCCTTTCCGCTCGTGGAATTTGATCTCCCGAGGGGAAACAATGTTTAAACGGACGAATAAGTTTTGCAAGCTGGCCACTCTTGTTTGTCGAATGGTACGGATGAGCCGGATAGATTAAGTTGCGCACCAACAGAAAACAACAGTAGATGTGCGTCTATCGTAATCGCCTGGACGCTTTCTGATTTCCAGCATATGTTATATGAATTAAGAGCGGACAGTGCTTTTCATCTTTACCCCCGACCTTTCACGGTCACTGGGCTAGTCTTCAAGGAAGTGTCCTTTCGTGTGTCCTTAGCCTGCCTCCCCCCTCGACACTTTTCTGGGAAAGGTTTCTACGCCTAGTGTAAATCATTATGTGCTTTCGATAAAATGCGGTAGTTGTGTCAATTCAACCAAGCACAGTGTTAGAGTTCAGTGTATTGTTTTTGGCATTTGTTGAATCGGACAAGTACGCAGGCAGCGCCTAACCTTACCCTCAAAATGACCTAAGCTGCTATCCAGTGGCTATATGCAATTGTCCCAGCCAGTGAAGATCGGTGCGGTTCTATATCGCTTTTGTTTTTGTACCACTTTACATTGCAAATGCATTCATGAGGCATCAGCTTTGCTCTTCGTTATAATCCCTTGGTGCAGTTTTCTTTAAAAAGTATTAACGCCCCATTGATGATTAACTTACGAGTTCCACGGCCAGGCCACCAGAAAACGCAAATGTGTATCAGATGGTAAGTTGTACTCGTCCACATCCACCCGCCGTGCCCACGATTTCGTCTTCGCTGCTGTTTGAGGTATACATAGTACCTCATATGGAAGGTGACTGGCTGGCCCATATAGAACAGAGGTTAATGCGATGGCATATATTGAGAGCAGGTTCCTGTACAGTAACAACAGAAAGCTTTAACCCACTCGGTCTATTCACGAGTGGGGAAGACGGATAAACCCAGGTACATATGAAAACGGAAAGGTACGTAACAACGCATGGCAGGGACTGATCACAAATGAGTTAGCGGCCGCGGCCGGCGGTCCCACTACTGGGTCTCGGCCCAGAACAGCTCCGGGTGGTCGGCCCGCAGCTGCTCGTACTCAGCAATCTGCGCCGGCGCCACGGGCAGGTGCGGCGCATCCGGCTGGAAGCCTCCCTCGTTGGCCGCGTACGACACCGAGTACGTGTTGCCGTCGTCGGCGACGAAGGTGTACGAGCCCTGCACGTCGATCGAGCCGGTCTCGGGCTCGGGGCCGGGCAGCACGGTGCCGGCCTCCTCCGCCTGCGGTAAGTCAGGTTAGGTCAGGTCAGGTCAGATTGTGAGTGTACACCGGCTTGTTGATGTTGTGCCCTTATCGGCGTCAGTGACAATGGTGATTAGAAAACAGCCAAATGCCGCCATAAGCTGAACGTTGAAATGACAAAAAGAAGAATATTCAACAGCCTCCTGTAGAATACCAATCGACGCTGGCTGACCTTGGCGTGGTAAACTATTGGTCAGCCTGCTGTAACGGGTCACGAAAGGGAGCAGCTAGTGGTCGGAGGGGACCAGACGGGGACACATTGCAGCTGCAACACATGTCACTAGTCGTATTGTGTAAAACTGGGCTGAATCGGCAAGCATTTACTTCCCAACTGAACTTAATTGTCAGTTGAACTTGAACTTAACTGTAATTGTAAATACAACTGAACTTAATTGTCAAGCAATTACTTCTCTATGCTAAATGCGTGCCCCCTAAATGAAGCACTTTATGTTCATGCTTCCTCACAGATGAATTGAACACTTCTATAAGGCTGGAACATACAAAAGCTTTCTCAACGCAGCTGTCAAATTATTTCCGACTGTTTAAATAAGTGTGAGGGCCCGTCCGGCGTAAGCGCTTGTGGTTCATGTGGTCTAAAGCATCCACCGGCATCGACAACCCCAGCCATTTCAGTGGTCCGTCTCAATGCAGGGGGGGGGGGGGGGGGGGTAGCCCGACGACTCACACTCTGTCCGTTGTCCAGCTGGTACTGGTAGTTGTAGTTTCCCTGATCGTCCTGGTCGAATGACTGGCTGACGACGTTGACCTGGGGCTGGTTCTGGGGCGCAGCCAGGGCCGAAGCCACCACGGCGAACACGATCATCTGTGGACACGAGACAGCGCCGGTCATTGTTGGTGCCACAAGGCCACACCGATCCCCGGATCTGCACAGAAACACGCGTGTGCGGCCTCGCCGCCGAGGCGAGGTACATCTAGACTGATAAAGTACAACTGGGAACTTCTTGGCGGCTTTACCCTAAAGGGGGAGCGGTAGACACTGGCTTAAATGAGGTCAGAGATAAATAATCCAGACAAAAAACAGCTCTCTCCCTTTCTCACACTCTATCTTTAAATTTAATTCAATTAAGTGATGATCAGGTTCTATATATAGCAAGTCTATGAAGATCATAAAAAGTTTAGCTGTTCGTCATCAGCACTACTCTGAGACCCTCACGTTTCGCTGCCAAGTCAGCGACAGACTTCGCCAGTTCCAATCGCCCTGCCACCTGGCGGCCACCGCTGGCTCTAACCGGCCCCATCAACACTCACCAGCTTCATGGCTGCGCGGTGTGAGTTGGGGTCACGAGCTGAGTGCGTCGAGAGACTGTTGCCTATCGCTTGGTGGCCGGTGCTTTTATACGCTTCCCCGGCCCTCACTGTGGCGGCCTTTGGCCATGGAGCCTCTCGGCTGCCAACCGAGGCTCCATCTTCCGGGCGGTGGCGGCGGAGATGGGTGAGCGGCCCGAGGACAGCCCTGCGGTGTGCGAGCAGGGCCATCAGGACCAGGGGTGCACCTGAGGTTGCACCTGAGGCCGACAGCACGGGAAGGGCAGCCATTGCTACAGCTACACACACTCGCAGCCGAACTGTCTCCACAGCATTTGTGGTTATTTAGTGGAGAGGATGGGAGGCATGTGTATCTCTTTTTTTAATTGTGATCGTACTTTTCTCGGTATGTCACTGATCAAGTATTTTGGCTAAACGGGGAAGCAGCCTGCTGGCTTCTCACTAACGTGCAGTGTTAAGTCCTCGTCAAAAAAGGGAAGTATGTCCGTTGAAAAGTTCTACGGTCTCATGGGTTCAACAATGGACAAATTGTCGTTAAATCGACTTATAGACAACACCCGTAATGTAAAATAACCATAAAGCCTTCATGTGTGCATTGAGGATAGAATTCTCCCTGCAGTTTATCATTACACTTAATGCGAAAACTGCACTGTAAACGTACGCCACTTCACAACGGATACCGACACAGACACATGTTGTGTGTGTACCTTGGTAAACATGTCAAAGTGGAAATACAAAAAGGTGCTAAACAAAAAGACGTCAAAAGCATCAGGATGTAATGGAGAACATTTGAACGTTGTTTTGAGCTCTCAAAAGGAATATTTCGGTACATTTTAGAGGACACTCATCTTTCCCGTACTACGCGAACAACGTTTTGTTTGAAATGTGTTTCGTGAAACGCCATCTCCAGTTAAAACTGGTATTTTCAGCCAAATGCTTCTACGCTGTTTGCCTTTTATTTGTGGCCTTTGCGTAAAGGCCGCGTAATGTTTTTCATCGAAATTTGTAAAAAAGAGTGGAGCTAATTTTCCACAAAGTTTAGCTTTAATACAATGAGGACCTTCATGCGTATTAACTGCATGTATTTGTGTAGAGTTCTGCAGCATATGATACAGAGCGGACACAATGGCACGCTATAGCTGTTCAAACCGATTGAATCAATCAATGCATCATACGCCAGTCATGTCTTTACGATCACACAGTGTCCTTTATGTTTGAGGTCATTGCAAACTCCATCATTTCACTGAGATCTCGTTTTATTTGTTTATCTTTGTGCTTATCAGATGGAACCGAACTCAGTCATACTTAAGTCTTGCTCTGATTCGCCGTTTTCATACCGCAGACTGATAGGAAGGGGGAGGGGGTTGATGCGACCTCCCGGCATTTACAAACTAGTGAAGACTGGGTTTGGAGGAAAATACGAGCGAAGTGGGGAAATTGTATTACCAGAACTCGCCATTGGTTTTAGTTTGTATGCTGTGAGGTCAATACTTAACCCAATTATGTGTGCGAGCTTCAGAAATAGAATTGTGTTTTTGTGTAATTTTGAGTAAAACGTGTGTGTCCTACGTGTGACAGCAAGACAGTGAGAGCACATAACTTGCTAATGTAACAACGTCGGCGCGCCGGGCGCGTTCCGCGTCATCGTCGGTCGCCGCCGGCCGTAGAGCGCCGTGCAATGTTCTTCAAAGACCGCCGCTGCTCCAAAGCTAGGAGAACCAGACACATGTTTTGGGTGTAAAACCCCGCAAAACGGATGCCCCATAGGCTACGAAAAATTGAACACGATTGAATGGTATTCTGGAAAGGCACTCTCAAAAAGCCTTAGGGGTGGTCACATCCAACCAGCTGCCCTACGAAGGCGATTATTAACAAACATTTCTTGTGAGTATGACAGTATGATGGTGATTGGGGTTTTAGGGCGCGTCGACTTCTAGGGTCATTTTGCGCCGAGTATGACAGTAGAGAGTAGAATATTTTATCCAGTATTTTCACCGCGAAATGATGTCTGTAAAGGGCTATCATCCTCCGGATCTCAAAGCATAACCAAGGAGCAGCCGTTTCCTTTAACACAACTACATGCACTATGGTACGACACGTCAGAAACTTGACTCTTAATTGTCATGTCCAGCATTCATTACAAATATTTAGTTGTGTCCGCTTTCTATCAAAACGGCCATAGGTTCAGCTCGCACTAAAACAGCAAATTTCATTGACCTGGACACCGAGCATATTGGCTACTTCGGTAAAGCAATGGTATATTTCGGTTCAAATATCAGACAATTCTGATTTATGTGTGGAATTAAGCACTCGACATGAGTGAGCACAACTAAGACTTGCACCAACAAAAGGGTAACTAAAATAAAAAGCAGCGCCTTCATAGATTGACTGCGAAGAGGAGCATGCCTGCTAGCACACGTCCAGCGAACAAGGCACATCTTCCTCACAGCACAAGGGTGAAATTACTTTGAAATTGTGGTTGTTCGCGTCGCAGACTGCAGCGTTCGTTGGTGCGATGACATCAGTAAACTAATCAACGTGTGGAAATGCAGTACTGATTATTGCTGCAGTCGTCCGGACAACATCACCTGGCGGTAATTTGGAAGACGGTGAAGCGCAGGTTATTGTCAGATTTGTACTCAACGCCATGTAAAACTACAGAAGACAGCTCTACTCTAGGCAAATGCGGAAGGTCGGGAAACAGCAGGGCATGCTTGTTTAGTGCAATGTCAGATCTTGCTCCGTCGCATCAATGAAAAGACTTCGGCACATATTGCGTAAAGCCCGGTACAGAGGCATGGAGGGGGCGCAGCCTGGTGGCCAGGTGTCTCGAGATTGCAGGCTGCCGCCTCTCCAGTTGCTACCACGGGTCAAGTTCACTGAATAAACAGGCGGCCACGGTGACGTCTGCGTCACTCATGCGTTGTCATTGTCGCGCGGTAACAGCTGACCACGTGCTGATGAAAGCATACGATTGATGATTGTTCGATACCTTAGGGTGTTTGATAGTTGAAGTTTGATAGTCCCACGCCAGCAATGTTTAGGATAAGAAGGATGTTGCCTTCAGTCAGTTGGAGCTGTTTGTGCTGACACACGAAATACATGTCGGTATTTCTCAAAAATGTATTAGCCATGTCTTGTTTAGTTTACCCCATACAGCTGCACAGATAGATGTTTGAGAATCCCAGTTTGCGCCTTTTGCCCACAAATTTTGGATGTCACTGTCCGGGGGAATCTTTTGCAAGTCATTAAGTTCTTTGACACGGTCATGCATAATAGTGAAGTTTCACCGCCCACAAACTGGCCAACAAACAAAAACTAGACGGGGCTGTCATGCTGCGAAATGTACCTTTAGCATGTCCTTAGCCTGCCTCCCCCTCAACACACCTTTGGAAAGGTTTCTACGCCCAGTGTAAATCATTTTGTGCTTTCGATAAGATGCGGTCGTTGTATCAATTCAACCAATTACAATGTTAGTGATCAATGTCTTGTTTTTGACAATATTAAATGGGACAAGTACATAAGCAGTACCTAACCTTACCATTGAAGTGACGTAGGCTGTTATCCAGTGGCTATATGCAACTGCCCCAGCCAGTGAAGATCGGTTCAGTTCTATGTCGCTTTTTCGTATCACTTTAAATTGTAAATGCATTCATGAAGTATCAGCTTTGCACTTCATTATAAATGCCACGGAGCAGTTTTCTTTTAAAAAAGTATTAACGCCCCATTGATGATTAACTTAGAGGTCCCCGACCAAACCACCCGAAAACTAGAATGTGCATCAGACGCTAATTTGTGCTCATCCATATCTACCTGCCGTGCCCACGGTTTCGTCTTCGCTGCTGTTAGAGGTATACGTGGTATCTCATATGGAAGGTGACTTGCTGGCCCATAATGAGCAAACAAATCTTAATGCGATGGCATATATTGAAAGCAGATGTTCTGTACAGTAACAACAGAAAGCTTTAACCCACTCGGTCTATTCGCGAGCGGGGAAGACGGATAAACCCAGGTACATACGAAAACGGAAGGATACGTAACAACGCATGGCAGGAGACTGATCACAAAGGAGTTAGCGGCCGCGGCCGGCGGTCCCACTACTGGGTCTCGGCCCAGAACAGCTCCGGGTGGTCGGCCCGCAGCTGCTCGTACTCAGCAATCTGCGCCGGCGCCACGGGCAGGTGCGGCGCATCCGGCTGGAAGCCTCCCTCGTTGGCCGCGTACGACACCGAGTACGTGTTGCCGTCGTCGGCGACGAAGGTGTACGAGCCCTGCACGTCGATCGAGCCGGTCTCGGGCTCGGGGCCGGGCAGCACGGTGCCGGCCTCCTCCGCCTGCGGTAAGTCAGGTTAGGTCAGGTCAGGTCAGGTTGTGAGTGTACACCGGCTTGTTGATGTTGTGCCCTCATCGGCGTCAGTGACAATGGGGATTAAAAAACAGCCAAAGGCCGCCATAAACTGAACACTGAGATGACAAAAAGGAGAATATTAAGCAGTCTCATGTAGAATGCCGATCGACAACGACTGATCCAGGTTGAGTGGTTTATTGGCCAGCATTCTGAAACGACCGCGAAAGGGAGCAGCTAGTGGTCGGAGGGGACCAGATGGGGACACAGTGTAGCTGCAACACATGTCACTAGTCGTGTTGTGTGAAACTGGGATCATTCGGCAAGCATTTACTTTTTTAAGCTAAAGGCTTGCCACTTAAACAAAGCACGTTGTGCTCATATCTCGTCGCAGATAAACTGAGCACATCTGTAAATCTGGCGCATTCAGAAGCTTTCTTCAAGAAAGTGTTAAATTATTCGCGACTGTTTACATAAGTGTGCGGACCTGTCCGGCGTAAGCGCTTGTGGTTCTTGTGGTCTAAAGCGTCCACCGGCATCGACAACCCTAGCCAGTCCGGTGGTCCGCCTCACTGCAGGGGTGGACTCTATGGAGGGTCTGCCCCTGCAGTGAGGAGGGGGGGGGGGGGGGGGGGTGGGAGGACCGGCGACTCACACTCTGTCCGTTGTCC